TGTGTGTGTGTGTGTGTGTGTGTGTGTGTTATCTGTGTGTTGTTGTTGTCTCTGTGTACTGGAAGCTTCTTCTGATTTTCATATATGAAATGTATAACTATGCAAACAATAAAGTGAGATAAAAGTTCATGAATATGTGCTCTTCATTGCATTCATAGTTATATATTTTTATATGCATCAGTATATAGTCATAAAGTTTTTTTTATTATTCTTGTAATAAATTCGTTATAATTCATGCATATTCTTATACTGAATTATTTATAATTCATTTTAAACACATTATAAATCATTTTTATTCTCTATTTTTATTTCTTGTGATTATTTTTATTCCTAAACTTGCCTTGCCTTACACGGTCCATCCATATACTGTACTGCAGTATACTGAAAAATATAAGCACTAGTTCCCATATGTTGAAATGCATTGTTTAATATATTGCATTATATTTTCCAGTACATATATTTTTGTTTTTTTGTAAGGGAAGAGCTCCTTCACAATAGCAAAAAAGTACTATGGTATTTACCATGATGATAATACCACGGTGTCCTCTACTTTGACAACTACCATGTAGGGTTAGGTGCCTTTTAGCAAATGGCTGCAATATAACAAAGAGTGAAAAATTTAAGGGGGTCTGAATACTTTCTGTACCCACTGTATATACCATGTTATTTACACTCCAAGAAGTTCAGAAAAAAACATGGTAATAACCATAGTACTTTTCATAATATGAAGAAGCTTTTCGTCAATTAATATCATGAATCATGACTTCAGATTGTGTGCTTTCAATAGCAAGCCGCGACAGACAAACCCATGTGTGGCAGCAGTAAAACAAGCCAATCCAACACTTTCACAGAGATATGAGCTGCCTATTCCATTGAGTCTTGAGGTCTTTTAATCTGCTCAGCCTGTGTAAAGCGCTCTCGCGTGCAGCGATAGGCCTGTTCAAAATTCTCAGAACAAAGACTAAACATGGACACGGCGCTCAGAAGGCACTGGCTCTGGAAATGAAAACAAGATGGGGAAAAAATTACCCACCCTCAATCACCCCCCTCCACACTCTGATCTTTCCATGCGTCGAACACAAATTAACTCCCCTGAGAGGTGTGTTGAAGAGGGGCGAGATGAGACGGGGGAGGGGACAGTCAGACGGGTGAGGTGTGTCCTGCTTTGCTGCAAAGAGCCTCAAACGTCTGATGTACCTCAAAGACTTGTGCTGTCACAACGTATTGGTGCATAAAAGTCCAAAGCATTTCATACTGAGCATGCCATCTCTCGCATTAGGTTGTTAACGAGTGGTTCAGGTAGGAATGATCCAATTTTAACAACACCAGAGCCACTTCTACACTCGTACAACCGGTTCTGTTTTTTGGAAACAAAGCTATTGGGAATCACAATGGCAATTGAGATCTTGAAATCCCTAATGGCGCAATATACTGTAGGTTTGCTTTACACAAGTATGTGAATGCAAACGCAACAATTCATAACACAATACAGGTATACAATCCCAGCAAAGCTTACATTAGCAAAAATGGTGTTCTCTCTTTCAGGTCAACTACTCTCATGAGAATCATGCTGAGCAAGTTAAATTATATAAACATGTTTATGGCAGCTTTCTGACCAATAAAACACTTGGTTTAATGGCACATACATATGAATTAACTCTATAATTACCTTGAGTGCTGAGGTCTGTTACAGTCACAGTAGCATAGGGTCTGTTTGTTTACATTTATTATGCATATTTCACTGTTAAAACATTACATGCATCTTTACCAACTTTATATCATTGCAAAAGGTAGATGTTTTGTAATGTAATTAAGAAGCACATACCCATTTGATCATGATTCAATCTCTGGTATTTGTCATGTCAAGTGTTTAGTAAACATTCAGTTTGAACTTGTGGTCCAAAAGTGTGCACATTTATTAAAATATTGATGGAATCTCACGTTTGCTTGTCATATTATCATCATGTACGTTATTCACTAAATGATGCTGATCTGAGAAGCATTTAACAGTGGAAAATTTCTAATACCAATGTGAGTCTGTTCACTTGGTAGCCATCTTGTCTTGTCAGCTATTTCCAGTCATGCAACTACAGCTCCTGTCTACTTGAAGTGGAAACATATATATAGATCTGATAACAACAGTATCATACAT